GGAGGGGTAGGGAATGAAATGGCATAACGACATGAAATCCTCTGATCTGAGCAGTAGCGCAAAAGGTGCACTGTAAACCCTTTAAAGAGGAGGCCTGGGCCCAGTGAGAAAGATTATACTCAACCGCTTCCAGAAAAGACGCAAAGGGATGGGAAGTCCTGGGGACACAGGAGTTAAATTGCTCAGCTGCTAACCAAATCCACCAGCCGCTCCGTGGGAGCAAGACATGGCCGTCTGCTTCCGTGAAGATCACAGGCCTGGAAACCCTATGCGGCAGTTCCACTCTGTCGCCAGGAGTCGGAATCGACTTAATGGCAACAGGCTGGTTTTTGGTCATATTTTCCTAGTGCCGCCATAACGATACCACCAGCGGGTGGCTTAAGAGAATTTTGTTTTCTCACACTTCTGGAGAATTCAGGGGGTCAGCAGGGCTAGGGTCTCCCTGGGTGTTGGCTCCAGGAGAAGACCCTTCTTGTGTCTTTCAGCTTCCCGCCTCCCGGTGTTTCCCAGTGCTCCTGGGCTTGTGGATGGGTCCTCACAAGGCACCTTCCCCCGTGTGTCTGTATCTCTGTCATTGTACTCCCCTTTATAAGACAGCAGGCCCTGGTGGCACAGTGGTTAAGAGCTCAGCTGCTAACTAAAAGGTCGGTGGTTTGAATCCACCAGCCGCTCCGCGGAAACCCTATGGGGCAGTTCTACTCTGCCCTACAGGGTCGCTGTGAGTCAGAGTCAACTGGATGGCAAGGGGTTTGCTTTTTTTGCTTTTATGAGACACTGCTCAGAAGAGATTGGGTTTAGGACCCATCCTACTCTGGTATGACCTCACTAACGTGACAAAAACCAAACCAGCTGCGGTCTAGCTGCGTTCATCTCAGCTTTCTTAAGCAGATCACCAGGCCTTTCTTCTGAGGTGCTTCCGGGTAGATTCAAACTGCTAACCTTTCAGTTAGCAGCCAAGTGCTTAACCATCTGTGCCACCCAAGGACGCCTAAGAGGAAACCTTATTTCCAAACAGGCTCTCATCACAGGTACAGAGGTCAGGACTTCAACAGACATTTCTGGGGACGCAATTCTGTCCGTAACAGAGACCAGCTCCAGGCTGACCCGAATTTGAAGGGGCTCTGCATTGCAGTTTGTTGCACTGCGCTCCGCAGCTCCGCCCAGTCTGGCAATGCAGCTTCGAAAGCTCTAACTTTGGGAAGGATTGAAGATACCGTCATGATACAGAGGGAAACTGCTGAAAAATAAAGGTTGTGTGGCATAAGGCCGGCTAGGAGGGGTGCGGAGACAAGCGGCCAAGCTCCTGCCTAGTCACAGAGAGGCCGGTGCCACCCGGGCTCCACCACCCACGCCGGGATGAATTTTGACTTCAAGATCCCCCAATGTCCCAAGAGACCACACGGCTGGCACTCGGAATGCAGGGTCTCTGAATTTCGGGGGCTTGCCCTTTTCAAAGCAATGTATCACCCCTTAATAAGGGCTCTGGAGCCCTAGTAGCACAGTGGTTAAGAGCTCGACTACTAACCAAAAGGTTGGCAGTTCGAATCCACCAGCTGCTCTTTGGAAACCCTATGGGGCAGTTCTGCTCTGTCCTACAGGGTCTCTATGAGTCAGAATCGACTTGACGGCAATAGGTTTAGTAAGTGGTCTGCATAGCTAAGTTGGAAACCCTGGTGGCATAGTTGTAAAGAGCTTGGCTGCTAACCAAAAGGTCGGCAGTTCGAATCCACCAGCTGCTCCTTGGAAACCGTATGAGGCAGTTCTACTCTGTCCTATAGGGTCACTAGGAGTCAGAATTGACTCAATAGCAACGGGTTGTTTTTTTTTAAATAGCTAAGTTCACCCAGGAGCACCAAAGCGCGGCACACGGGCAGTTATACTTCTCCTTTCCCTGGAAGACAGAAAATCATCTTTCCCATCTGTTAATTACACAGGTTTGAGCACCTGGCTCTCTGCACCTCTACTCTAAGAACACTTTGTGGAACATGAGGTAAAGTGCCTGACAAACACGTGCATAAGATGACTTACTGGCAGAGCAGGCAGCTCGGTTTAAACCAGGAAGCCAGGCTCAGAAATGACAAAGTTATATTACAAAAAAATAAAACCAGGCCCAGGAGCATGTCAAAGGGGGGAACAGCACATACGACATCCAGCTTACAACACATCCAGCCCCCAATTCCCGATGCCAGTGCCAAGTGTGACGCCTCGAGAACACCAGGAAATACCAAATTACATGATGTTATTCAGAAAAAGTGTTTTGATCTGCCTAAGGACACTTGTGGCACAATTGTTAAGTGCTCAGTTGCTAACCACAAGGGCGGCGGTTCAAACCTACCAGCCTCTCCGAGGGAGAAAACACCTAGCAATCTGCTCTCATAAAGATTACAGCCTAGTGCACCCTATGGGGCAGCTCTACTCTGTCCTGTAGGGTCGCTATGAGTCGGAATTGACTCGATGGCACACAACAACAAGGACGCTTTGGAGCACCAGCTGAGAAATGTCGCAGCAATGGCCTCTGTTAGATTGGATTGTGTCCCCCAAAAATTATGTGTTGTAAATACTCACCCTTATCTGGAGCCCTGGTGGCACAGTGGTTAAGAGCTCAGCCACTAACCAAAAGGTCGGCAGTTCGAATCTACCAGCCACTCCTTGGAAACCCTGTGGGGCAGTTCTACTCTGCCCTACAGGGTCGCTATGAGTCAGAATCGACTCGACGGCAACGGGTTTTATCCTGGCAGATGTAATCCCACTTAGGAATAGGGATTTCTCTGTTGCGTTAACGAGATCATACGAGTGTGAGGTGTGTCTTAAACCAATCACTTTTGAGATATAAAACAGCAGATCAGGCAGAAAGAAAGGAAGCACAAACAGAGCCATACTGATGCCACATGGACGACGCCAAGGAACCAAAGAAGAGAAGCCGAAAGAGACAAGGACCTTCCCCAGAGCAGACAGACAAAGCCTTCTCCTCGAGTTCAGACGTCTAGCCTCCTAGCCTCTCAGACGATAAAACTCTGTTCGTTAAAGCCACTCATTCGCAGTATTTGTTACAGCAGCACTAACAGACTAAGGCACACTTCAGGACTGTTTACTGCTGTTTTAACCCTGAACTGTAACTGGTGCCCTGGCGGAGCAGCGGGTAAGTGCTGCTAACCGAAGGGTCAGCAGTTTGAACTTACCAGCCACTCAGCAGAAGAAAGATGTGGCAGTCTGCTTTCCTAAAGATTACAGTCTTGGAAACCCCATGGGGCAGTTCTACTCTGTCCTACACGGTCGCTATGAGTCGTAATCAACTCGACGGCAATGGGTTTTTACAGGCAGCTCAAACCCACATCTTACAGAGAAAATCTGCACTAGCTCCAATAGTTTGTTCACCCAACTGAAAAATCTGAAGCTTCTCAAAAACTGAAAAGGGTCAAGAACCAGGGGTCACGTGAGGTCAAGATTAGTAGACTCTGACCCAAGAACCTGGCGCACGTGCCAGGAGTCAAGGCTGGTATGTGAAATCCACCTGGGGGCACCGCCAGATCATGGAGTTGCAGGGAGGCCTGGGTCACCAACGAGATAGTAAACAGAATCAAGGGACATTAGGGCAGGAAAGGACTTTGAGAATTCATTTAGCCCATCTCTGCCTTCAAGGCTGAACCACAACAAATAACCTCCTCTGATACTCTGTTCTCTCTTCCCCGTCTCCTTTAACGAAGATTTCAAGGTCTCCTTGGTAGAAGGTTTCCTAGATGTGTCACTAGCAAAGGTGCACTTTATGGAAAATAAATGTAACCTCTGCTCTATTATGGCAAATTAAGTCAGATCAGTGGAAAGGAATCCTCCAACGTGATCCCTTTTCAGTTTTCAATGGGCTGTTGCTGCGACACTGAAGTTTTAGATCTGAAGATCCTGCTTCAGTAATGGGGTGCCTTCACTGATGAGCTCCCGTCACAAAGAGCAGGCCGTGTCGGACTTCATCTTATAAACGGGGCTGTCAGTCACTCAGCCGAGAAACGCCCACCTGGTAGAAGCGGAGGAGTTAGGCCTTTGGCGGCCCAGTAACTGGAGATCATGGCATTCCACGAAAGCAATGAGAACCAAAACCCAAACCTGTTGCTGTCAAGTTGATTCCAACTCATGGCAACCCCAAAAACCCACTGCCATGAAGGCGATTCCAACTCGCAACGACCCTATAGGACAGAGTAGAACTGCCCCATAGGGTTTCCAAGGCTGTCATCTTTACGGAAGCAGACTCCCACATCTTTCTCCTGAGGAGCAGCTGGTGGGTTCGAATCGCCGACCTTTCGGTTAGCAGCCGAGCACTTAACCAGTGCGCCACCAGGACTCCTCTATGGCGACCCCACCTCTGCCCAAATAAAACAACTCAGGAAATACTCTTCTGCCCAGTAGCCTTTGCCTAACTTTGCTATCTTTTCCCAGCAAAGGGCCCCAACTCTAGCCTACTTGCTTTCAATTTCTAAGAAAACAAAAACGGTTGTTTCACAACTTCTCTGCCTTGGCATCTTCACCCACAAAGCAGCCCACCCACCTCACATGCCAGAACCGGGAAGAAGGTTTCTCATTCAGTCCTGCAGGGCTGACCCCAGACTTTCACAGAAAGAGATCTTTCAGTTCTGCCACTATTATTGGAATTCAAGGCATAAAGACAATTAGGCAGATGGACCGATCTAAGCATTGTGGAATTTGTAAGGATTTGTTGTCATTTTTTAAAGAAAGGGAACCCTGGTAGCACAGTGGTTAGGTGTTTGGCTGCTAACCAAAAGTTCGGCAGTTCGAATCCTCCAGCAGATCCTTAGAAACCCTATGGGGCAGTTCTACCCTGTCCTATAGGGTCGTTATGAGTCGGAATCAACAGCAACAGGTCTGGTTTGTGTTTTTTTTTTTTTTAAGGAAAGAATATCAAGCTCGATGCCATCTCCCAAGCGCTACCCAACAAGGAGTCCAATGGAGGTACAAATAAAGCCTGAATCAATAAAACGTCAACACCAAGATTTTTCCCAAAATCTTTTTTAATAATGTGTGTAGCTTGCGCTGCAGCAACCAATATAAAAACAGTTCTTCCTGATTTCATACCAATTAATGTGTAGAGAATCACTATTGCGATATGCATACAAACACAAGTACCAAACAGTCGGACCAAAAATAAATCACCGTGAAGAGCAATGATTGCAAACAACAGACATAAAAGTTATATAATGTGACGGCAGCCGAGTGTGCCTTGTCAGGTCAGATACGCGCCGCAAAGCTCCCGTCTGTGGAAGAAGAGAGACGTCAGAGTCCAGGTAACGAGAGGACGGCCGAGTCCATCACAGAGCATCGGGGCAGGAGAGAAGGTCACGTGTCTTTGTTCTGCAGGCAGGCTTTAACAGATGATTCGTTTGATTCCTCACCTCCTAACACACCAGACGGAGACTGAGGAGACTGCTGGCATTGATCTTCTCTTAATAAACAGCTGTCACTTCCATTCAGATTCTCTCCGCCACGTACTGCTCCATAAAATCATTCTTTGATTTTCTGTGCTCCCTTCTGACCATTGCACAATCCGCAAGGTCACACTCCTTACCCTACGTGCAAACCGGATGTCCGGGGGACCCTCTGAGCGTCAGGCACAGCACCCAGACTTCATCTGTTTGGGCTGCTTTTCATAATCGCTTATAACCACCGTCTGTGGCGGCCCCTCGGCTCTCTGCCGTAAAATCATCGGCACAACCATATCAAACAAGGTTTCGAACAGGTAGTCCACGTTGTAGCCAGTTTTGGCGCTGGTCTCAAAGCACATTTTCTCAGCAGCTGGCACGTCCTTCTCATCCAGCATTCTGTACTTCAGGATCTTTTTGTAAAGTGCCACCGCATCCTCCAGCTTCACCTGCTTGGGCACTTTGGCTGGGACGCAGCTACCGCCGGCCTCCCTGGAGCTGTCCTGCTCGTTCTCTTGGTCCTCGGCAGCCCCCTCCTCAGCGAGGTCCAGCTTGTTCCCCACGATGGCAAAGAGGCAGTCAGTGTTGGCTGTGTCCGTCAGGCCCAGGAACCTGTCCTCCAGCTCCACCAGGCTCTGCAGGTGATTGACGTCGTAGGTGAGGATAATGGCACCCGCTCCTCGGCAGTACATGGAGCCCAGCCCGTGGAACTGCTCCCTCCCTGGGGGGGACAAGAAGGAAAAGAAAATGTTTGTTACATCTCAGACCGTGCCCACCAACCCCTGCTACACAGGAGCTCCGCCAGGGAAAAGGCGGGGGAAATCGGAAAGCCCAAGAGTGGCTGGAGCTGGGTGAGAAAGAAAATGATGTCCAGAAAAAAGAGGCGACTGACCCACGGTCCCTCCCTCTGGTTAGAAGTCCACGGAGGAACCCAGGACCCCGAATCAAAGAGCACACCCTTTCTACTCTGGGACACTTGAGTCTCATTACAACTGGAGGCCATTCTCACAAAACCTAGCCAAGCAAACAATCGCAAGAGCAAGGAAAGCACCCATGTCCTGTTTTTGTGTCAAATTAAAGGTTGTGCTGCTGGTTCTTACTTTTTTTTTTTTAAGATTCTAAATAAAATACCTACCACCACAGAGCTTGATGGCCTAGTCTATGCGTATCTAAACAGTGTGGTCCTTCTGAACTGGCACCAAGTTCTCAAGTCTGCATCTTCGTGCAGGCACACACAGCTCCTGCAGAGCTGGGGTTCATGCTCGACCTCGAAGACCGTAGCTGAGGCTCACGAGACACGTCCAGCTGCCTGGCCTGAAACCCACTGGTCAATCCACAATCACAGGCCTCTAGAACAGGGTACTAGGGGCCTCAAGAGGGGCCAAACTGCTCAGAGAAGCTCAGAAATGAGTTAGGACTAAACAGAACACTCACCCACAACAAGAAATCTCTCTCTTCCCCTCTTCAAGAGCAAGCTATGGAAAATATGCAAGTCTACTTTCAACCAAGCTGTAAAGCACTGGGCATGCAATACTGCAAGAGACACTCTGACCTCCCAGTCTCTGGGTGCTTTCTCACCTGCTGTCATGGACTGAACTGTGTCCCCAAAAAGGTGTGTCAACTTAGCTGGGCCATGATTCTCAGTATTGTGTGATGGTCCACAATTTTGTCATCTGATGTGATTTACCTATGTGTTGTAAATCCTGCCTCTGTGATGTTTAACGAGGCAAGATTAGAGGTAGTCATGTTAATGAGGCAGGATTAGAGGTAGTTATATTAATGAGGCAGGACTCAATCTACAAGATTAGGTTGTATCTTGAGTCAATCTCTTTCGGGATATAAAAGACAGAAGCAAGCAGAGAGACAGGGGGACCTCATTACCACCAAGCAAGAAGAGCCAGAAGCACGAATCCCTTGGACCCGGGGTCCCTACGCTGAGAAGCTCCTAGACCAGGGGAAGATTGATAACAAGGACTTTTCCCCAAAGCCGACAGAGAAACAGCCTTCCCCTGGAGCTGGCGCCCTGAATTCAGACTTCCAGCCTCCTAAACTGTGAAAGAGTGAATTTCTCTTTGTTAAAGCCACCCACTGGTAGTATTTCTGTTACAGCAACACTAGATAACTAAGACACCTACCTTTGGATGCCCTCAGCATTTTGTACAGTAAAACCTGCAAAAACGAGAACCTGTGCAAGCTAGAAACCTGCCAGAGAAGGAAAAAGTAAATACCTTCCACTAAAACGAGCGATACGAAAGTGATAAGACCGCACCCTCTCAAAGGCGGAAAACTTGCGAGAGCCGGAAATCAACGCAGTCCCCTGGAGTTCCGGCTCTCACAGGTTTCACCGTGTAATGCATTGCACCCCAGCAGTTCACCAAAAGTTCTCCAAAAGAATAATATGAATTATAAAGCACACCTAAGTTCATCATAAGCACAGTAGCACTTCGCAGTGTTGATTATAATTTAAGAACATTCTTTACATTTTCTCTCCCTAACGAGAATCCCAGCCAGTGCACCTCATGCACGGCCACCACCTGTCTGACAGTGGAGGCTTGCGTGTTGCTGAGATGTTGCACAGGTTTCAGCAGAGCTTCTTAACTAAGACAGACCAGGAAGAAAGGCCTGGCAATCTACTTCTGAAAATCAGCCAATGGAAGCCATACGGATCACAATGGTCCAATCCCATGTGCATGGGGTAGCCAAGGGTCAGGTCGGCTAACAACAAGAGGGAGCGTCAAAGCACAACTAAAAATGACATCAGAGGACTTGCTTCAGCTGTCTTGCTCTCAGAGTCACAAGTTCAAACGCTCACAAGGAACAGCCAGTCGGAACAAGGAGGGAGGCTGAGTGTGAGACAATGGAAGGTGGGGCTGGAGGAAACCGAAATGCGCATGCCCAGGTTGAGATGCGCATGGCCAGGTTGAAATGCGCATGCCCACGTTGAAATGCGCATGCCCCGGTTGAGAAGCGCATGCCCCGGTTGAGAAGCGCATGCCCAGGCCAGGTTCCGGGGACCCCGCCTGGAAAGCATGCTTGGCTGTGTTTTTTAAAAAAAAAAAGAAGCCAGAAACTTGGGCTTTCATGAGAAATCTCCCCACTCCTAAATGTTCAAAATTTTTTTACTACAAAATTTCTAAAGATCACGTCTGGGCAAAACAGACTACAACTGCGGGCCGTCAGTTTGCATCTTTTAAATTCTCAGCGATCCCTCAAGTCTCTCTGAGGACGACCTTTCTAAGGGTCTATGACAGGGCTGACCTCTCAGGGGGTTTAACCATTCCGGTCAGGAACCGAATTCCGGGATCCATGACCTTGACTGGGAAAAAACAGTGTCTTTATTTTCACCACCCTCTAACTGAAATTTCGTATTTCCTTCAATTATGAATACTGGCAACCAACCACAAAGGGGTTGTAAGAAACAGTACCTATTGCTCTGTTATCAGCAGAAATACCAAATACTGTCAATTTGCATTACAGTTGTAGCAGGTATCTGGAGGTTATGTACGCTCATCACCACTTCAAAATCACAGCAGCTATTAAGCCTGTCACTGATCTCGTTATTTAATGCGTTCATAAGGAAGCGCGTATGCATCACAATTTTTTTTTTAATATTTTGAAACCTCGATTTCAGTATGCCTGGATTCTTGTAGTCCTATGTATTTTACGGCACATATTTAAATACATTATTCTGAGAAGGGTTCATGGATTTCCACCACACTGGTGCTAAGGAGCCCTTGGCACCAAAGAAACCAAGGACCCTTGGTCTATGGGTCTTTGGAGCAGTTTTGAAACCATAATCCTTACACCAGAAAAAACCCGAAACGTGCCATGGAGTCAATTCTGACTCACAGGGACCCTATGGGACGCAGTGTAACTGCCCCACAGGGTTTCCAAAGCTGTAAATCTTCGTGGAAGCAGACTGCCACATCTTTCTCTCTGGGAGCAGCTGGTGGGCTCGAACCACAGACCTTTCGGTTAGTAGCCGAGCATTTAACCACTATGCCACCAGGGCTCAGACACAGACTTACACGTGACAGATGTCTTCTCCCACACCCACAGCCAAGATCCTAAAGCCTGATTTCCCCAGCTTCTGCTCCAACAACACCCAAGTGTTTTCCTAAGTGATGTGAAGCAGCCGAAGGTCATGAGATGGGGTCGGAGAAGGAGTGGGGGAGCCCTGATCAGGTTTGGCAGCAGCCGCCCTGTCGCATTTCTGAAGGTCAAACAGCTAGAAGGCAAGTTAACTGTTAATCAGCGCTCCCTCCCACTTCTGGGAACAGCCAGCCTGGGGGCTGCTTCAGTTTAGGCTCAGAGCCACACGCTGACAAGCAGTCCCGCTCTGGAATTCAGCAGATGAAGAACATTTGTGCCCTTTAACACACCTATAACGTACTAGTTGTCAGCCAGTTAATCTATTCGTCGGTTTCAAGCCAAATTATACTGAATACCAGCAGGCAGATACTAAGTATTCTTCAATCTCTTCATGTCCCCCTATGCGATATGATAATCAAGAAGGTTTTAAAAACAAACAAAGTAGCAATAACAGGCTTTAGTTTAAAAAAAGAGAGAGAAAGAAAAATGCTTTTCTATTATTACCACTGACTTTTCTTTCAGACATACTAATGCCATATATAGCAAACCAAGCATCATGAGGTTTCCCAACAGCTAAAAATGTTATCAGCGCCTACTCTCCAGATTTCACAAGAGACCCAAGGGAAAATGAGTAAGTAGCATTCCAGTTACCCTGGATGAATTTTTTTAAGCCTCTGTTACAGAGTTCACTCAGGACAAAAGTGGAACTGTGTCAACACCAAGGCCTAAAATAGTTTTCCTTTCCAGATAAAAATGCCTGGCGTGCTTTTTTTAAAAGTAAATATTAATAATAATACAAAAAGAACGATCAGAACAAGTCAAGTCAGAGCTCAAGATCCCAAACGCTAGCCAGAAAACAGAGTAAGAATTGCTATTCAACTCGCATAATCTGTATCTATCCATTAACCAATGCAAACAAATGAAAGGCAGTTACCCTTGTGAAAGAATGTATGATTAAGCAGTTTTCATACCTGAAATTCTTAAGTACTATTTTTAAATATAATCTATAGCTTTTAGAATTGTAATGGGATATTCAGGCTGCATAAAAATGAGGATATTGTCCATGAACTAGATGGACGAATCCTACATGGAACAGAAGTTCTGAGTTGAATACTAATTGAATTTAACTGGGAGCCCTGGTATTTCAAGCATCAAAAAGAAAATAATGATAATAATAACAATGAAGATAAAGTGGTAAGTCAGTAAGACCTGACCTTTTTCCATTTGCTTTGCCAAATGCACAGTGTATCTGCAGACAAGATTTTTAAATAAGTTTTCCAGCATTATGTGAACACGCGCTGAACTATGCCATGAAGTCAGGCTGCCAGCTATTAAAAACCAAATCGTACTAAATACCAAATCCGCTACCTTCACGTAGATTCAACTCGTGGTGACCCCATGTGATGCAGAGTAGATCTGTGCTCCTTAGGGTTTTCCTGGTTAATACGTTTTGTAAGCAGACTGCCAGGCCTTTCTTCCAAGGTGCCTCTGGTAGGTTCAAACTGCCAACCTTTCAGTTAGCAGCCAAGCACTTAACCATCTGCACCATTCAGAGACTCCAACCTGCTGCGAACGCGCTGTACCTATTAGTTCACTCTACCTTCAGAGCGTTGAGTTCCTCGTCTAAAA